CTGCCTGGATGGAGGACATGCTGTCATGCCAGCTACAGCGTGGACTTGATGCAGGAGCTCAGGGGAAGGTGTAGGAAATTGATTTGGCCAGCAGGGCAGATTCTCTCCAGGAGCCTGTTTCATTAAGCGCAGAATAGGTCTTGAGGGCTCAGACTGAGGAAAAATGTTCTTGTTGTAGTTTTATATTCTTCTTCTGTTTCAATTAGGTGTTCTGTAATTATATAATAAATTCTCAGAACTGTAAATGATAACAACACAAAACACTATAGACCCATACAATGATCATGTTGAAACCAATGACTTTTTTTACAGAATTAATTAAAAAAAAAAGCTAACAATTGAGAGTTTTTCTTAGTGGCTCCTCTGTTGTCTGTTCCTTCCTCTCTCTTTTTGTGTCTCAGTTTCTACCTTTGTGGTCTTTGGATTTGGTCTTATATTTCTAATTTTTTTTTTTACATAATAAACTACTTGAAATGCTTTTTAGAAGTGGGTGGGATATAAATAAATTATGAATGCAGTTTCTCTAAGATACATGTTTTTCAATATTTCATTATACTAAATAATGACAAAATAGTTCTTCATGCATACAGCTGTTTTGAACAGAGGACCTGAAGTCCTTTGTACACTCATTGTATTAAACCTATTCAAGTTAATTTGCATTTGTATAGCATTTTAAGAACTAAAAAGGTAGATTTTTTTTTTATTGTTCACATGCATTATTTTATTCAAGCCCCAAATCCCCTGACAGGGAGCTCTTTCAGCCTCTGTTCCTGGCACGGTGCCTCTGACCTAAATAGAGTCTCCACAAAGGCTTATTGAAAAAATGCGGGATCGAAGTTAAGTCAGAAGGGACAATTCTGGGAGCAAGAATATCTACTCATCAACATTCCCATTTCCCTGAAGAGGAAGCAGTGATGTGCTGCAGTCACTAGGATTGTGTCAGGAAAGCCAATGGCACAGATTTCTTCCCAGCTCCACTTTCGTTAAATGACTTCACCTCATTGGCGTGAAAGTGGCCACAGTGGGTTACACCAGAGAAATCAGTAAATACTGTAGGTCAGCACCCGTGCCCCTCCATCCCTTGAGAGCCAGTTTTTAAACATTTACCAGCAATACCACTGAAATTAGGATTCAGACTGGTTCAGTGACTTGACTGAGGTTAAGTTGCTGGCTAGGAGGTCAAGTCCAGGCCCCTGGCTCTAAGACTGTTAGGGAAACTGAGGAGTCAGGGATGAAGGAGCAGCCAATTCCTGAGTCTGCAGCATAGCTCCATGAGTGACAGGCTTACACAGCAAGGACACAGGCCTGCGCGTTAGAGACAGGAGGCTGCCTCAAGCCCTCATCTGCTTATGCCTGGGACTGAAGGAACCTGGCCTGCATTTCACAGCCATGATGTGGAGCACACCCACCATCCAAACACAGCCAAGCCCTGAGTGAGAGATTCTGGATGCTGCAGACAGGAAATACTGAAAAAAACCATCACTGCTTCAACATACAGGGAGGGCTTGTGGCTTGCTAATTCCCAGCAGGAGTATCAAAGTAACTAATCTTCAATAAAGAAAAGCATTCTGAAATGATCAATGTGTTTTCACCTGGATTACATAGGAAAATGAGCAATTCCAGTGCAAAACTTCTCAAGGGTGAAAAATGTGACTATGTAATATTCAAAGAGCCAAAAATGTTTAGAAGAGCCTGCTGCCTTCTTTTGGCCCTTTTGAATCTTTATCGACTCAGCAGATATTCTATTATTCTAATCCCTTTATTCCCAAGAGATAGTATTCAATATGATACAAGTGTACCTCTCTGGGTTACTGTCCACTGTTCCTAACATTCTTTTGTTCTAAATCTTCATGGTCAAAAAAGTGTTATTATTATACTTCAGACCATGTGACCCACTGGGATTTAAAAAATTATACTATTTCAGGCCACTTGCATGTATCCAGGACTTCAGCTATTGGCTTTTAAGAAGTTTCAGTATAAGAAATATCTCAATGTTGGAAAATACTTCTAATACTCAACCAACAGTCCACTTAAAAAATATTCAGTGTAAATTTCAGACAGACTTATTATAACTGCCTTATAGAATTGATTTGAGTAGGATTCAAGCCACATGTGCTCCATTAAGCAGGCAATGAGCACCTAGTAATTGTTAACTAGCTTAGAAACTGCTAACTATAAAGCTAGTCATTTCTAACTTAGTAATTGTTAAGCTGAACAACTAAAGTAAACAATGAGCACCTAGTAATTATTAACTATTAAGAAAAGGGAAATTGAAAATGATAGTTGGCCTTAACATATCAGCACAACCAAACTTAAGAGCACAATTCCTAACACAAATAACTGCATCTGGGCTAGGCCTGTGATCCCCACAGTGATTTTCTGAACGTCTCCATACGCTTACTTTTCTGGTTTTCCTTGGTACCACCCAAATCATTTCAGGTCACGGGACCCAAATCATTTTGCTCAGTTTAGAGAGCTGTGGCAAGGCTGGTACCAATTGTCTTTAAAATCTAAGCGTTAAACAGACAGCATTCAAAATTGTCCCTACACAAATGTCACTCATTCACTCAGTTTGGATATGTCCTCCTGAGTAGAAGAGAAGGGGGTGGAGTTAGAGGCGGCCCCTTGGAACTTGCATGGAACCCTGAGTAGCCCTGGGAGTGTGCAGTGTGTGTGTGTGTGTGTGTGTGTGTGTGTGTGTGTGTGTGTGTGTGTGTCTTATCTGCAGGTGGGGAGGGGAGAGGAAATGCTGAGAGACCCAGTGTCAGGGAGTGGTACTGGGCCACTGCCGCAGGGGCTGTCTGAGCATTTGCAGTATGGAGGGAAAACTGTGCCAGCCTCTCTCCTCCCCCCAGTCCTCTGCCCTCACCTGCTTCCTCGAGAGAGGCTCACCCTCTCCAGAGCACAGCTCTACTGGACCAAGGAGGGTCCCAGGAACCAGAGCCTGCCTCTCCAAGGCTGTCCCTGTCCCTGTCCCTGTGGGGCCCTGCTGAGGGTTCGATGGGCTCATAGAGATGCCCTTATGTGTTGCTGTGGAAGGAAATGGTCCATTTGGGAGGCCCCAGCCCTGTGCAGAAGGGGAGGAAGGAAGAAAATGGGCTCTGAGAATGGCCTGCGGCAAGTGCCTCTGTCGCTGTCAGTCCCTTCATCTTCCAGTTCCGGGTGTGCCCAGTATGGCTTCATCCAACTGCCAAGGTCCTGGAATTGAGGGAGGATGCCAAAGGTGCCAAACCACAGGAGCAGCAGCAAGAACGTTACGAGAGGGGTGAGAGTGCCTCCAGTGTCAGCTTTGGGGCCTGCTGGCATCAGGGGAGCAGTACACTGGGGCCATTGTACTGCGACGAGCCTTCTTGGAACCAAAGTTTGAACATTTGATGAATGCGGGAGGCGTTCAGCAAAAATGCAATTCAAGCAGCAGTTAATATGTATCCACTCTGTGCAGAGCTTGTGGGGGGTTCTTCAGGGGAACTGGAGACCAGCAGGACCTGAGCTCCACCCTCAAGAGGTCTGAGGACTCCCAATAGAGTAGGGAACACAGATCCACAGACAATTTATACAGTGACAAAATGCCACCAACTGTCACTGACATGTGATGCTCTGGGCTGGGTCCCCTGGTGAGAGGAAGAGGATTCTGGCCCTTGCGACATTCAAGTCCCACCCAGTCACCGTTTCACAAGCATGTGTTTGGATATTCCATTTTACACACGTTAAGCTTAAGACTAAAGTGACACATTTAAGTGAAGACATTCAAGAGTGGAGCTCAGAATCTAGACTAGCAGTATAAATCAGGGACGAAAGGCAGTGGGTGAGATCACTGAGGAGCAAGTGTGGGGAGAAAAGAACACCCAGAGGATGTGTGTGGACAGGAGGGGCTGGCGGGCAGTACAGGAGGAGGGGCATCAAGGAGACGTCGCGTGATTTTAACAGGCGATGCTGTATTAACAGGGATGTGAAGCACAGCAGGTCCTCCTATAGCGAGGAAGATGGGATGCAGCATGGAGACCGCCTCTGCCAGCTCACCGCTGAGAGGAGGAGCTTTCTGTAGCCCATGGTGGGCATGAGGGTAATGGCCGTCCACACGAGGATGGCCTGACGCCGTGCTCAGCGCTTCAGATGCGTCATTGTGATTGCGTTTAGTCCTCACTGCACCCTTCCAGGCTGACCGTACCACGGGGTAGAGAAGTTGGGTGACTCGCCCAGATTCAGTGGTCAGCAGGCAGCGAGGTCAGCATTCCACCTCATCCCTCTCACAGCCCAGCCAGCCTTACACGCACGCTCACCAGTTTTGGAACACGCAGGCTGTGCTGGGTCTGAATTCATAGGAAAGGGCCTGTGCAGGCTCTATGAGGAAATCTACCGGCCCGAATTCAGAAACAGCAAGTTAACTGGACAAGGGAAGCCTGGCACCGTGGCAGCATGCTTCAGTTGTTAGATAGTAAGCCGGTCAGTTATCAAACCTGGTTCTCCTCTCATAATTTCAGTAACACTTGTCTCTACCTCAGGTGTCTTTTGCTCTCAGCATCTGCTAGGTTCTCTTGTACTCAGTTCTCAAGTCTTCTCTCCCCACCACTAATGATGCACGCCCCTCGCCCTGCTCTCTGGTCCTGTCTCATACATCTGCTTCACCCTTGCTCTTCTTCTGCCTTATCTTACCCTTTCGAACAAGCAAATTGCAATTCCTCTCATTTTTCATGTTTACCATCTTGTTACAGTTTTCTTTTTCTAGTCCTTTCTGTAGTTCTCTAGTGCTCTGTGAAGCATCTTCCTGATGGTGAGATTGCAAGCCATTTATAATACGAATCGTAGTGGTCTTTGTTCCCAAGCAGCTACCATGGACACTGAGGGCAAGGCGACACTGCCCGCCTTCTTGGCGATGGTCAAATCACCACTGTCATCTAATTTTATTTCCAATGAATTTCAAATTTTTCATGTACTCCCTCTCATTAAAAGAAACAGAGTACTTTGTTCTATACCATCAAGTCTATCATTCTCTTCCTCTCTCGCTGGGTTGCAATGGGGAGAAAGCCTACTGTAGGAAATCCTCCCAGATGGGCAAGGGGCCTCCCAAACCGCTGCCCCATTCCGCGTGTGGCGTGTGCATGCGCGGGCACTAGGGCAGGCATTCTAGGCCACTCTGTTTATCCCCATCTCTCATCCACACTCTCTCATTTCTCTCAACAAAAGCCACACATCTCACCAATCTCCCGACTTACTTTTGAAATCATCATCTGTCTGGGGTGTCTATCTCCATATAGGATGATGTGCATACGTGATTTTCATATGTGTTTATCAGTGTTCAGGTCAGTTTGTAGCTCTTGTGGATACAGTCCTATGTGTTTGTGCTTGTGGAATACACATGTACTGACACATGGACCTATGTGGGCCTAGTTCCAAATGACCTGAAAGGAATATAATCATAATTGAACATTTATACAGAAATACAACATACACATATGATAGCTTGGGGGAATATATGTAGGATTACCATCAGGATTTTGTTTCAAATAGGTAAAGAAGGGAGGGGATTTGCACTGAACTAACAATGAGTCAGCTTATTTATGGGTCCCTGTCAGTAATGACATTATATGACATTATATAAATATGTCTTTCTAGAGTCTGACCTGCATATGGGGCTATAGTCTCTGAGTTGATAATAGCAGTGTTGAGTCATACTTTCTACAGGTAATATCTGAAAAGAGTTACATGGTTTAAAATATCTTAAAGGGCTTAAAGAAAGCAGTTACAAAACTTCCTAAAAATCTAGTTTAAAATAACAAGTACAAGGTTGTGTTCATTTTCAAACTCTGATTCAGTAATCTATTTTTAACCTGTCTTATTCCTTTTACAATAAGAAACCCAAAGCTTTTATTTTACAGTCGTGTATGCATTCATCTTTTGTTTTCTGTCATATTCTGAAATTATGTACAATTACAAAATCGTTCAACATATTACTCTGTTAAACGAAAATGTCTGTTGTATAAGAAGTCTAGAACAACATTTGGGGAATAAGAAACCAAGCCGATAAAGGATTTATTTAACACCTCTTTCCTTCAGCAGAAATTTACATTCTCCCGATTTTGTCTCGTGATGTGCATCAAGTATATTTTGAATTGGGAAAACAGCTCAAAGAGAGCATTCATGAGGATTCTGGCTCACAGTTGATCATCTTGAGTAAATGACCTCAACCACAGAGGCGCCGAGGACTTCCTGGAGTTGTCATGCACTCACAAGAACAGAGTCCGGCGAGACACATCACCTTCACCTACTCGCCGGGGAGGTGGCGGAGGGGCAGGCCAGGCTGGGCTTTGGCAGTGAAGCCAAGAGGAGCAGAAAACGCGCGCTGGCTGCACCGCCGGAGAGGCTCGGGGCTGCGGCGCCCCCGCCCGCGCCGGGAGCCCCTGATTGGATCCTCCCGGATCTGCCCGCTCCAGCCCGCTCCCCGCCGGGGAAGCGAGCCCACCGAGTGCTGGCTGCCCTGTCGACACCCAAGATTTAAAACGGGCAAGTTTTGTTCTGGAGACTAAGGACTTTCGCTCCGATTCCGGGAAGAGAGCAGACCTCCGACATGGAAGTTTAAGGAGCTGGATTTGGACTTTTGTGAGTTTTGCTTTAGGTTCTCTCTGAAATTAAATTGGGCTTGAAGGTAAAATCGTTGGGGGGAAAGGAGGGAGGCGGGTGATTCCCCTCCCCCAACCCTTGCATTTTTAAAACTAACGGCTGTGGTGAAGGTTTAGTTTGCTGTAAGTTACAGAGTTTCCTTCCTTTGTCATCGAGACCTCCAGAAGCTCATGGCATACGTGTTATGACCAGAGCTCTTTTTAACAAGACTAGCCTGCTTTTCGAACTCTTGCTCTAAAATGGAAAATAACAACGATGAGGGAACTGCAAACTCGGTCAAAACTTACCTTCCATAGATAAGTAACTGTTGCTTGTTCTTAACGAATGGATTGTTAGTGTAACAGATGCCACCTCTTCATGGAGAGGGTATTCAGACCAATTTTCTTTCATGTTTCATGTGTAATTAACATGTGATATTGTTCATACGACTGAAGGAAATTGCTCTATCGCCAACTGCATCCTGACTGCGGCCGAGGTCCGCCGGGAGTGAAAACGCTGTCTTTCCTTCCGGATCACTAAAGGACGGAAGCTCTGGCACGCCCGAGGGGATGCCGCAACCCCGGGCATGGGCTGTTCTTTGTGCCGGGGGCCGGGGACCGGCTCGGGGTCCGCGGCGAGGGCTCGGGGCCGCCCAGCCTCCGCCCCGCCCCCGCCGGGCCCGCAGCCCTGCGCCGCCTCCTAGCCGGAGCGGCTCTGGGACCACGGAGAGGTCGGAGCTGCTTCAGCTTCCTTCAGCCCCGGCGAGCTCGCTGTAGGGCCGAGAGGGGGAGAGAGCCTCGAGGAGGTGAGCGCACGCTCGTCCGCACTGGGAACCCCGGGACTTCGGGTTGCACGGGCGCGCTGGGGCCCGGGCGCGCGCGGCCCGAGTAGCTCCCCGGGCCCCTGCCGTCTGTCCCGGCACCGGCGTCGGGAAGAGGCGGCAGGACTACCCGCCGCGGGCGAGGGCTGCCGGCTGCCGAAAGCGCGGCGGGGCGAGAGGGCGCGCTTCCTCCCGGAGCGCCTTTGTTCGCTCCTGCCTGAGGGCGGGCGTCCGACCACCGAGACCCCGGGCCCAGCCGCCGCCCAGGTGCGGCAGGTAGGCGGGAGGGCCCGGAGCTCCGGTTGGGGTTAAGGTTCCCAAGGCCGGGTGGGTTCCCCCTTCCTAGGGAGCTCCAGCGAGGCGGCCGCCGCGCCGCGATGCCGCAGCCCGCCGGAGCGCGGGAGACTCGGGGGGAACGCCGCGCCCCGCGGGCCTCGGTTTCCGGCCGGGGTCTCCCAACCTTGCTGCCCGCCACCCCTAGGCTGCAGGGGTGAATTCGGTTAGCAAGCCTGCGCCAGGCTTTGGTAATGAGTAATCACCAGACTGTGGAAGCTCTCGGCGAGTGACTGGCTGGGGAAATGGAGACGAGGGAGTGGGGCTGGGAGGGCAGACTGGGAAAGGAGACCTCCTCCTAGCGGGAAGGTCTCTGCTACTTTGTTCGACTCGGCCAAAATTTATTTTTCATCCTGAAGTAACCTAGTCAGTTGCTTACTTAAATACCATATAGGTGACAGGAGCAACTCTTCATCCGATTCTGACTGTTACACACCCTATATCTTTCCCAGTGTTGATTTCCATAGATGACGGGTCACGTTAAAGGGGCATCTATGTTGAACCCGCGCAGTGGCTGGTGGTGGCTTGTCGCTCATATTTAGGGTAATTCTCTGATGAATGTACATCCTTTAGAATTGGATTTGTTCCTCTGTGCCTTTATTTTGGGAAACTTTGCCTGGTCCCTATGGGGGAAGGGAGAAGGATGTGTGAGAAGCTGAAACTGACCCAGAAAGGAGGATTGAAGGTGTATTAAGTAGTGGCGCTAAAAAGATCCCATCCTGAACTTGCTGAAAGGGGGATTGGCGATTAGCAGCCGCGGTTTTAACTCTCTCAAGAGAAACGTATGTATATAAAGCCACATTTTATATCTTATTGGCGGAGGGGAGTTGGTGGTGGCAGCTTTTATGGGGTCAACTGTTTTATTTTAAAGCAAGATAAACTCAGTAACTGAAATATTTCCATTTTATACTTAAAAGGACCCTTCTCTTTCCTGCTCCATCCTTCTCTCCCCCTTCTCCACAGGCACGCTTCATGAGTAATTTATTGAGCACCCTCTGAGGAAGAGGCCAACTCAGTCTAACCTATCTGTGCCTTGGGCTCACCCTGACACCTTAAGATAGGGATGAGTGTTATCACAGGGCAAGTTCAAGCTGAAGCTCAGAGAAGTGGTTCCTGAGGAAGTGAGGCGTGAGAATGATTAGGAGGCATAAATGATATTGTGCATGAATGCTTTGCCACCCCCACAAACCCTCAGAAGGTGGAGAAGAATTTTCAAAATAATGTGTAGCTCTGGCAAGTAAATATGTCACATTATATTTCACTAAACCGGAGATCAAATTTCCCTTTTATAAAAGGCTGATTCAAATGATGAGATTGTAGGAAAAGGAAATAAGTTTCCAATTCTCAAATATAGAACAGCTCGAATAATAACTCATGGGTTTTGAAATGGGTCATCTTTTTTAAATGGGTCATTTTGGCTAGAGTCATTGCACTTGGTGACTTTCAAATTGTAAAAGTATAGCTCTTTCTGACAACCAACTGCACTAGACTCTACCTAGCAACAGGATGTGATAGTAGTAGAAAGAAACTATGAGAAATTCAGAAGGAAATAGTCTCTTCTAACATAACAAAATGTATCCTACCTTTTTGGAATTTTCTGTAAGCTCAATTGAATAGATCTAAACTTTGCATCTGATGTCACATTATACATTTTGGGGTGGGGGAGTATATCTCCATAGCCATTGTTTTAGTCTATTGTTAGAATAATCTTGTGAAGAGATGCATATATTGTATCTATGTTCCAGAAATTGAGGAACAGCAAATTATTACAAGAGCTCTGCCACTTGACAGAATTTCTGCTAGCAAAGATTTAGCTAGAACAGTGTAAATCGGGAATATTTTTCTAAATATATATATATATATATGTATGTATGTATAAAAGATCTATATATATATATATATATAAAAGAATCTTCATGTTTAAAGATAAGAAAGTTGATCAAGTGAGATGTCAACTTTGAATAAACAAGTGCTTTTTTTTTACATTTTAATGCTAGCTATTTAGAAGTTGACTTTGATCTGTAACTTATTTGTAAGATTTATCTTCCACAGTCAGTTTCCTACAGAAAGCAATGTTCTCCAATTCTGCAGGTAATAAGCCCCCAAAACTTCAAGTTCAAAATACTATTTGGTTGTCAGAAAAGTCACGACATATTTTTTCTATGTTTTTTGTTACAAAAATGCGTCATGACTTTTCCAACAACCCAGTATTATTACACAGCTTAAGATCCACCTAAGGTTTCATAGTTTATCTCTTATTCCTTTCCTCCAACTCTTTCTACAATTTTCTGACAGTTCTCTAGACTAAGTTAAAAGGTTGACTCAACTTAAGTTTCCTTCTCCATAATTTAGAGGGCCTTAAAATCTTTGACTTGGTCATCATTATTGAAATGTGTTTTTAAGTGCTTGTGGGAACCATATTGCCTTTCCTGTCAAGGACAATGGTAGACCATATTCAGTCAATTAGTAGTGATACTTCTGTTCTCAGTCTCAACCTATCTGGGACGTGCTAAGTGACCCTTAGCAATCAGATCACTATTTTAAAAGCTCCTATCTAATCAGTATTGTTTTGAGAAGAAGAATATGAAGAGCCTATCATCATTTTGAAAGGAAAAGAATCCTGAAAGAATATCAGCCATCTGCTATCTAAACCATCATGGTGAAGATGCATGAACAATTTCTAGAGAAAGGAAATTAGGGTATATTGAACACCTGATCTGGACCACACTTTGTCAATAAATTATCCCAAACAATCCTCAGAAAACACTGTGTGATATATGGTTTAGAGACAAGTCGAGTTCATGTGACCAGAAAATGGAAGCACCAGAATACAAATCTACTTTTGTTCATATTCTAAAACTCTTGGTTTTTCCACTCACTCGCCTCCATTAGGTCGATTCCAGGTTGCACTGGAATGTTTACTTACTCTAGTAAGGGATCTATACTGGAAACATCTCTGATGCCTTCCCAGCATCCCACCTGTGGCCTACTACACAGTATGTGGGAAATTAATATTTGTTGAATTAATTCAATGTGGGCAACACCTATTTGCTGGGCTTTCCAGCATAATGCCTGGAACAGGGTAGGTGTGTAATAAATGATAGTTAGCTTATTATAATAAATATTGATCAATCAAGACAGAAATGTGTTATATATACCTCTCATGTTTTATACCATCATTTACTTTTTGTACTCTATAAACCCTCAATCAAATGTTTCCAAATCTCATGTCCAGAACAGGATATATGAACTGCAGTAGGACAATAGGCTTATATGTATAGCTTATATAACAGGTGTATATTGGGTTATATAGTCAACTTATTTCTAAATCACGATTTTTCATATCATAATTTGACCTCAGTTCTGTATGACTTTTCCTTTCATTTTATCTAATACTTATTTATCAAATATTTGCTTAAAACATTTGCTCTGAGTCCTATACTTTTTTCTTTCCTTCCCTTCCCTCCTTCTCACCTCTTTAAAAACAAAACAAAACAAATAAAACCCTCTTGCCACTTTGGATCTCCTCCCTTAAATCCCCCAGTCTTCTTTGTAGAGGAAAGACTTTATGCACCAAAGGACACAGACTCATGAAGTCACTTTCCCCCATTGTCTAAGTGCTACCAGGATCAAGAAAAGGAAGGAGGGAAAACTGAGATGGAAGGTTAAGAAAATGAAGGGCTGGCCGAGTTGCTCAGTTGGTTAAGAGCTCGCTCAAGAGTGCGAGCTCCGAGCAACAGTGGTTCAATTCCTGGCCTGAGCTGAGCTGCCAACAGGTGTCAGGATGGCTCAGCTAAAAAAAACAAAAACACAAACAACAACAAAAAAATGAGAACAAGCTCTGACAAAATGCAGGTGGGAACTAAACATAAGTGAGTGACTCCAAACTTCGAACAATGAAGCAAGTTCTTTGCCTTCCTGGGTAATTTCTCTTGGCTCTGCCCCACCTGCTCCCCTGCCCTCCCATCCTGATGGGAGCTCCAGGAAGACCAGCTGTGCCAGTGCCAGGAAGGAAGGGTAGGTGAGGAGCTCAGGGATGGGACCTGGAACTGATCAGCTGCTTCTGAGCTGCCACGGCGCCTGGAATTTATAGAGGTTACGTGGTGAACCCCATGGCTCAGTGCCTCAGTTTCTTGTTCTGCAACATGGGGAGATCATTTTTCCCTCATAGGTCGTTGTGAGGCGTGAAGAGTTACTATACATGTAAAACGTTCAGAACGTGCGTGCTATACAGTAAACACACCCATGTTAGTAACTGTTGCTAGAGTGGGCAAAAGGAGAAGTTTAAGTAGGCAAGAATAAAACTGACAAGAATTGTATTTAAAAAAGATAGCATCCCTGTCAGCCCAAACAACTGTGCCTCAAGCCTAGAACAACAAATGTTTGACCTTTATGAAGCCTACTTTATATTTCAGGTTTTTTTGTTTGTTTTAAATTCTATATAATCACTCACTGCTACAAATTTTTAATAACTTAACGTAGCTCCTCTGAAATAGAATAATATGTACTCTGTAGTCCTGTGCCACCAGTTTCCTTAGCACCTGTCTTTACTTAGGGCCTGTCTTTATTTGTTTGTTCATTTGGTATTTCCGTCTTTATTTCTCCCACAACCAGCAAACAAATCTACACCTTTGTTCAACTTACAAAGAAGC